GGATACAAGCTGCAGGATATGAAACATGTGATATATATATCCAGTAATATATCTTCATGAAAATGTGTTCTTATAAGGATAAAAGCTGGATGAAGACATCAGAAACCTCTATAGAATTAACACATGGGTCTATACCCATAACAAGAATAAACAATGCGTTAGACATTGAAGAGGTTAATCTAGAGAGCCAAATGGAGAATTTAGAAAGAGTTATGGGAATGCTTAATCAAATACAAGAAAAAATAACTACTACAGAAATAAAAAGTAATGGGCAAGACATTGAACAAGAACTTGTCTCAGATGAAATTGCCACTAATGAGACACCCACTCAAAGAAAATCCACTAGAACAAGGAATGCACTAACATACTTAAAGGATTATGTGTGTGAGTAAATCAAAGGACATAAAAATAATGTTGAAAAGACAAATGGAGAAAACTCTCAATCTTATTAATAAGATTCCTACACCAGTTGTAAACAACAAAACTCCTTTTGAAATATTGTTTGGAAAACTACTAGGATATAACCATTTAAAGATTTTTAGTTGTTTGGCTTTTGCATCAACTTTGACTGAGAACATAAATAAGTTTGATGCAAGGGCTAGGAAATGCATATTTTTAGGATACTCTTTTAGTACTAAGGGATACAAGCTGCAGGATATTGAAACATGTGATATTATTATATCCAGTAATATTATCTTTCATGAAAATGTGTTTCCTTATAAGGATAAAAGCTGGATGAAGACATCAGAAACCTCTATAGAATTAACACATGGGTCTATACCCATAACAAGAATAAACAATGCGTTAGACATTGAAGAGGTTAACCTAGAGGGCCAAATGGAGAATTTAGAAAGAGTTGTGGGAATGCTTAATCAAATACAAGAAGAAATAACTACTAGAGAAATAAAAAGTAATGGGCAAGACATTGAACAAGAACTTGTCTCAGATGAAATTGCCACTAATGAGACACCCACTCAAAGAAAATCCACTAGAACAAGGAATGCACTAACATACTTAAAGGATTATGTGTGTAAGTAAATCAAAGGACATAAAAATAATGTTGAAAAGACAAATGGAGAAAACTCTCAATCAAATGAAGTTGTTCCCATAGCGAATTGTAATAACTGAGTTACATATATGTATAAAAAAATACAAATAAATAATAAGTAATAAATATTAATAATGATATATATAAGCAAGCAAAAGGGGGAGGGGTGAGAAAAAACGGTTTAGATTAAAGGGTTGGGGAATGGAATGGACGGTTGTGATGTTTAGAAGGACAAATATAAATAGAAAGGAAAAAAAAGAAAAAATAAGAGGAGAAAAAGAAAGGAAAAAGAAAAAGAAGAGAAAAGGGAAAGAAAAGAGGAGACAGTCGAGAGAAATTTGAAAGGGAGTCGGAGAAAGAAGAGTCGAGAAGGGAGGGAAGGAGCCAGTCGGTCGAGGATTGAGAGAGAGTCGGAAAAGAAGGAGACAATTAAGGTGAGTTAGTGAGCTGTGGCTGTGGAGGACGAAGGAGATAGAAGGTATTGTGAACTTAAATTTC